TTAGGAAACAAGACTTCAAGACCACGGCCACACAGCCCGGAAGACCCACACCAGCCAACATGTTTCTTTCTTACAGAAAAGAAAGGAAGGGATAGTCAAAGGGGGAAATGAGGGTGCGGAGTCATGGGCCAGGTGGATATGATATTTCTTTTGGCGATTGCAGGCCAGATGATTTTGGGTGGTGGGCCAGATCCAGCCTGTGGGCCGTAGGTTGCTAACCCCTGCTTTAAAATATCACAACTGCACCTCTGCTAATTCATCAACCTATTTACATATACAGCAGGATCTAAGGCAAGATCTGAACTTAGAATAAAAGCTCCCTCCTGATGAAGTGAATGGAACTTTCCTCCACACCTTTCTTTCTGAATGCACCGAAACAGGCAACTGTATAGAAGGAAATCAGGCAGGGGGAGATTTGCTCCTCTCTCCTAAAATGTTACCCCACCCCTCCCTCCTTTACAACAATTAATACAAAACATCACACCGTAACTCCCCGCGGGTGATGATGAATTTTACTTCTTCCCCACCCTCTCCCAGCTTCCTCACGTGACTCAGGAGCTCCCAGTTTCTTTAGCAAAGGCTTTCAGGGCACAACCCAGCATCAACTCTCTCCTTCCTTCCGGCTGCCGCCTGCGTTTATCCTCCTTTCACCTCCGAGCTCCTCTCCGGCCTCGATTTAAAAATCTCCCTCCCTGAATCCTAACTTCCAGATCCCCAGTGACTCCCCCCACCTCCCCCCATTGATTTCACTTCGAGCTGAATCTCGAACGCCCCTTTCCTACCCCTCTCAGTCCTCACTCGCGTCGTCTCTCTAGCCGGTCGTCGGCAAAGGATGACGTCACGGCCTAAGAAAGAGTCTTCTTGGGGCTGGCCTTCTGGGAGGCGGGAGAAACGTAGCTTGACTGACAGTAGGGAAATCCAATGACTTCCCCGTCCGGCTTAAAGGGAGAAAGGCGGGCTTGGCTACTATTTAGACCAGCGTTTCTTAAACTTTTTGCTCTGAGGACCCCTTCCCACTTTTAAAAATTATGGAGCACCCCAAAAGAGCTTTTGTTTGTAGGGGCTACATTTATCGATATATACCATATTAAAAATTAAAATGGACGCGTTTGCAGAATATTTATTTATTGAATCATGTAAAAATAACAATATTAAACCCATTAGATATTAACATAAATAAGGTATTTTTCATGACGTTTGCAGAATATTTATTTATTGAATCATGTAAAAATAACAATATTAAACCCATTAGATATTAACATAAATAAGGTATTTTTCATGACGTTTGCAGAATATTTATTTATTGAATCATGTAAAAATAACAATATTAAACCCATTAGATATTAACATAAATAAGGTATTTTTCATGAAAAAACTATTTTTTAACAAATAAATAGTAACGAGAAGAGTGACACTGTTTTAAATTTTTACAAATATCTTCAATATCTGGCAAATATTTTTGATTTCGTGGACCCCTGAGGAGGTCTTGAGGGACCCCCCCCAGGGTCCTCGGACCACAGTTCAAGAAACATGAATTTGGACCAGTGTTTTTCAACCTTGGCAACTTTAAGATACTGGCTGGGGAATTCTGGGAGTTGAAGTCCACGCATCTTCAAGTTGCCAAGGTTGGGAAACCCTGTTCTAAGTGATTATGCAAGGACCCCCCCCACTGCCCCCAAGCAAGCTGAGGTAGTTTTGGAGGGAGACAGATTTTGGATTTAAACGTGGCTGAATGGGAGGCAACTATATCTGACTCACCTGATCTTGCCCGGCAATCTTCTCTCTTGGTCCTCTTTTTAAAAATTGTTGCAGATGGACAGCTGCTAAAAACTTCTTCTTTCCAAAATGATTTTTCAACTTTCCAGTCTAACTTACTCCTCTGGGATACTGAAAAGTCAGCCGAGGTTGGCTATGCTCAAAAATATATAAGACGAAACAGTAATTTATTTATTAGTTTGTTTTCAGGCTGCTGTAATCAACAAGGCATAAAAACATAATATTGATGTAATAAGACTCTAACCCACCCACCCCATGATGATTAACTGTATTGAGATAAATACAGATTTCAGCATCTTCCAAAAAGTATCAGGATGGGTTCAAGGGGACATTTGCCTAAAACTACCTTCCCCACGTCCCCCAAATGTCTCAGACTCCAATTCCCATTATCCCCGGCCTGCGGTTGCAGCAGAACAAAAGCAAAAGCCACCAGGTTAGGAAAGTCTAACCCAATGTTTTCTCAACCTTGGCCCCTTTAAGATGTGTGAACTTCAACTCCCAGAATTCAACTCCCCCTGCTGGCGGGGGAAGTCCACACATCTTAAAGGGGCCGAGGTTGAGAAACGTTGCTAACCTACAGGCGCCTGAAGGTGGCTTCGACTGCCATCTAGTGGCCACACGTTGACTTACACGGCTCCCAAGGAAAGCGGGAAAAGAAAGGGCGGTGGCTTCCTCTCTTAACTGGCGTCCTTTGATGACGCAACTTAGAGCAAAAAAAATTAAATTCCGAAAAGCGGCCGCTCCGACTGGGCTTTGAGGGTGGCTTAAAGCAAGGCGTGCGACCCCTACGAGGCGGCACGCATTCCCGGCGCTCGGTAGTGACGTCACGGCAGGTAAGTTGGGAGTTCGGAAGAGGTCGACAGGGAAGGCTCGGGTGGGATCTCCCTGTCTCTGATTGGTTCTCGGAATCCAAGGCCAGGTCAGAGGGCAAAGGGCAGAGGTCAGCTCCTAAGCCATCCCAAGTGGAATTAGGAGCCAGGAGTTTGGGGTTCCTTGTTCTACTATGCAGATAGAAAAAGAAGTTAAAATCATTGTCTAATTCAGCTATACAGAGAATGGGGAAAGAAGGAGAGGAGATTAAAGGCTTTCTAGCGGTAGCAAATCATGGTTAGTTCACACATCATACTAAGCCATAATATAGCTTAGTACTCCTATGACATGCTAGCCAAGTTGTTTGAGTACCCAACATGCTGAACCAAAACCTAACCACGTTGGCTGAATACAAAAGCGTTGGGCTAGCAAATGTACAAGGGCGTAGTGTTGTTGGGGCACCATAAGATTCGATGTTAGTATTTACTGTGCTGCTTGGGAGGACCGAGGGTCTAACTCAGAATAAGACACTTCTACATTTGCAGTCTCCCAAAGGCTAAAATTGGCTCCTAATTCCCAATCCCTATTTCCACACAGATGTGTGAGCACTTGCATTGATGCAGGCCAGCCAGTGCAACTCTGTGGCTAAGAAATCCCCCCTTTTGAGAAGCTTCAGCATTCTGTTCAACCAGAGTGTTGTGACGGATTGTCTCTACGAGGAGGAGAGCGATGGGGGAGATCGAGGCTATCAGGAGGGAGGGGGTGCATGCCAGGAGGGGGGAGGAGGCAAGAGGCAACACGGTCTGCAGGGGGAGCGTGGGAAGTGAAGGAGGTTCAGGATAGCCACTCCCTAGAATCTCCCAGGGTATACCCA